AGGACCTTCCGGTAAATGAAGAGGTCTCACAGACATATTAATAATAGGACCCCAATATTTTTGATTCTTTACACATTTACCCCTTTCTTTTGTGTTTGTTCAAAATGTTACCATACTCAGTAATATTGGGTCACTAAACTGACAACAATGACAATAACAATGGTTTGTGGTATTACCATAAAAAAAAAGTGAGATTACAAACACAAGAAACGTGATGGACCCAATTAACCTTGGAGAGTGGTATTTGTTGTCATGTGATATTATAGCTTTGCTACACATACAACTCCCACGTGTTTCGTCGTCTTTCAATAATACATTTGACAGCTACATAAATTTTAAAATCTCCTTAATCATCTTACCAACAATCTCAGCTTACGAAACTTATTATTTGTATAATAACAAAAAATTGAAATTCTTCCATCTCAAAAACATAAGGTAACCCACCTGAGTCCCTTGTCGTTTCACTTCCAGACATGTGGAGATTTTGTAACACTCCAATCTTCCTTACCTACTTTAATGGAGATTTAACTCATAATCAATCACCTTGACCTGATTCGATTCGATGTGTGGTCTGGTCTCAGAAATCACGAGCCTGTTCTAATGCCTACCATTGTGTACAAGTAAAGGACAGTATTTGTATGAACATCACTTTCATGCAGCTGAAGGCTGGGATGTTACAGAACATCACATCCTTCTTTGATGGTTTCGAGTCGTTCTTGTGCATGAACGTGAAGGCACCTTTCTAATGATCAAATATATCACCAATAATCACCACATGAACAACCTCCATCTTTGAAATCATGAAACTGTCTTGCATCTCTCAGTAGAATCTCTCTTTGGCTGATCTTACTAACATATTTCATTAAAGAATGGCAATCTCCGCAGATTCTAAGGTTCTTAACGATCCTTATCGCGGTTCCAGGAGCAGTTCTAAGAATTCCAAGTGCAAGAGCCAGTTTCTCACTATGGATTCCAGTAACATTCTCCTTCTCTTCTTCTTCAATGTCGTGAATCGACCAATCAGCTCCTGGAATGTATCCTCTCTCAACAGCAAGCGATATGATCTCCTCAAGCTTCAAACGTATCTCTTGTGCTTGATTATGAGAATAATCACCTGCTGCGAAGTTGTTCAGTTGACCATCCAATTCAATATAACTCCATCCCGTGCTTAGTTCTTTGACTATCTTCCGCAATGGTAATCTTCTTTTCTCTACTTGTTGATACTTCCCTTCAGCCGCAGATGTTTTGTCTAAGAAAATATAATTACCACAAAGCTCTGGATCAATCTCCAAAAGATTTTGCGACACCATTTCACCTCTTCTATTACTTTTGTGCGCCTTGCAAGCACGATAGAGTGCAGCCCATGTTGTAAGATCAGGATTTATCGGCATAGTTTCTATAAGCTCATGTGCTTCGTTCAATTTCCCTGCTCTACCTAACAGATCAACCACTAACACATAATGTTTCAGAGTGGGCTCAATCGCATAGTCAAGCCTCATGCTATCGAAGAAATTAATTCCCAAGTCTACTTCGCCTGAGTTCAAACATGCAGTTAGAACTGCAAGAAACACAACCTCATCTGGCTTCTCTCCTGCATGTATACCACAAATTTGAGCAATTAAAATCAACGAATCGAATGACAAAGAAATGAGAATAGCTAAATTCTTAGTTTGGACAAATCTTTACCGGCATACATCATCTGTCTGAAGCAAAGGATAGCCTGTTTGAATCGTCCATGAACCGCCCAACCTTGTATCATAGCAGTCCAAGACAGAATATCCTTATGCCTCATATTACTGAACACAGTAGCCGCACAATCAACTTCGCCACATTTTGCATACATATCTATGAGAGCTGTCCCTATAGCTCTATCCAATATAATCCCATTGTCCAAAACATAACCATGAATTCTCATTCCTGATCCAAGAGCACCAGATTTTGAACATGCAGAGAGCACAGCAGCGATTGTGTACTCGTTAGGCTTCATGCCCTTCTCCAGCATCTCAAAATAAGTCGAAATCGCAGTTTCATAGTCGCAATTTTGAGAAAACCCATTAATTAAAGTCGTCCAAGAAACCACATTTTTCTCTGGCATTGATTCAAAAAGCCGCCTTGCTCTGTTCAACTTGCCACTATCAACATAACCCTTGATCAAAGTACTCCAAGACCCTGAATTTCTCTCTGGCATGGACTCAAAAATTGTCTTAGCCATTTGCATATCCTTGACTCGACAATACCCATTAATCAAAACATTCCATAGCAAAACACTCTCCTTCTTGATTCTCTCAGGACTTTCGTCGAACACTTGGGAGGCATAACGTAATTCTCCAGTCTTAGCATACATATCAACCAAAGATACCCTAACAAAGGAATCACAATCAACACAATCCTTCACAGTCGCGGCATGAAGAGCCCTACCCAACCATCTAAACTTTAATTTAGAATTAGACTTGAGAACAAACGGGAAAGTAAGCTGATCAGGTCTCACACCAAGCCTCAACATGAGAATGAAATGACGAACCGAACACTCGAAACGAGCGTTCTCCGTCAAACCACAGATCAAAGCATTGAAAAGGAACAGATTCTTCTCTTTCAAATGTCTGAAAATCGAGAGGCTGTAATCGGGGGATTTTAGAAGAGAAGAGCAAGAAACTAGCTGAGCAGCGACGCGGCTACTGAGGACGCCGAGACGAAGGATCTGGGCGTGAACACGGCGGAGACTTACGGTGTCTTTGCAGGCGTGAATCAGCGATATGAAGTGAGATCCGTCCGGTGAGGCTCGACGATCGGCCGGAAAATATATTTTGGCGGGAGAAGACTTTGGTTTAAAAAGAAGGTAAAGAGATTTCATCGGATCGTGCTCTCAGTATATCCTGAAATTGGACCCTATCTACAAAGCTACTTGGATCAAGGAGAGACACAGAACATGGAACATTCGCATCTTGATGGCAACTTTCAGAACAACATGATGTCTTTTAATCAATTTGGTAATTGCGATTACTATGCTCAATAATTAAGCAACAACTTGTTGTAGATATAAGGATATGATGGTTTCATATGGTCCTGATAGAGTAAAAAGTTAACCACAATGCTAGCCAAATTCTCAAGCTTAGGTGCAAATTGTTTAACCATATGGAACACCAAGGTTACATAGCTTTCACAGAAATTGTTTAAGCTTTTTCCACAGATATTGTAAAAAAAAAAGAGACATTGAATGTTGATGCGATATAACCAAAAACACAAAGGTTTTTCGTCTTAAACGAAACAAAAAATGGCCTGCCTAGCATCAGTGTACCTCCAACAGGCTTCAGCTTACGAGCATAGAACTGTTCTTGATGAACTCCAAAATATGCATCTTCTAAGGAATCTGCTTTTCTTTCTCTACCATGCACAACAGGTTCCAAGCACAAACCTATTAACACAAAAATTACTACTGTGTAAAGGTTGCAGAAACAGAGACTTGTTTAAGAGTATCATTTACCTTTCATCTTCTTCTGCTTGAAGAATGGGAAGTATTGCTTGACGAGCAGCATATTTCTCTTCTTTCAATGCCCTACACATCACATAAATTTTAATAAGAACTTTGAAATCTGATACATATTGACAATGAATTAAACCTGTACTTAATACTTTTTAGCATCACGACGTAATAGGAAGTTTCCAATGAAGAGTTAAGGATGCACAAGACAAGAATATGAAACCGAGTTTTTTTCTTGTTTAGTAGGAAACCATTGCAAATCAACATTGGACACGCATAAGAAGACCAGGGCCAGATGACAGAAGTATGTTTAACTACTAAAGACTAACATTCTGACTATGCGAATCAGTATCCGATTACTACTATCATAACTTGCATCTAGATGATTGCAGGAGATTCACATCATCTTAGCAATTGTGGCGTAAGGGGTTTGTAACATATAACTAATGAACTTTCTATTCGTTATAAAGAAAACAAGATCCTAAAGTCTAAATTCATGCTGATTAAGGTTCAACCAAAATGCTTTAGAAGACTAATTGATCACTAAATAGTGATTCAAAAAATTCATCAGAAAAACCTATTAACCGCTCAACAAGCTTATATTTCCACATGTTAAGCCCGATCCAGTTAACAGGACAACTTAAATCGAAGGCCACCATAAAGACACCAATTTACAGAGAGAAATCAACAGTACATATATTCCAACTTTGAATGATCTCGAAGAAATTCCTAACACCAACCTAAATATTCACCAACATCTCTGATTAGAACTTACTTCCACAAGTTTCAAAAGTTTATGTCCAAAATGAAAAAAGAAAATTACTCAATTTTACACCAAAATACACCAAACTAAAAGCTTCTGAGCTATTAACCTCTAAACTCGCAACGTTGTATCCAAATTCCATCACCACTCACATGGAAGACTCATATAAAGCGCAAACTTAGCAACTGCGATCTAGAATTTCAGGGAACAAAAAGATGAAATGTGAGCGAGCGACATTACCTGGGGATTTTGTTTCCCTGACCGACCTGGTACATTCTTCAAGCAAAGGCACCAGACATCGCAAGGAACATAGCCATGGCGCTAGGACCCGTGTTGGATATCCGGCGAGCATATCGTCCCGGCGGGAACCCACCCGGTGGTGGTCCATCCTGAAGCAGAGGCATATCCCTCACACTCACCATTCCTGTCTTCTTCCTTATCATCGTCTCCGTCATCTTTCCTCAATCTCTCGATATCGAATTGAACAAAAACTGATCACTGGGTCC